CCCTGAAGTCCCACCCTGAGATTGCCACAACCCTGCCTTGGGGTCCACGGACCAGCCCTGGCGGACTGGACGCTCACAGCTTATATCCTACTGCCAGGTCTCTGGGTCCCTGAGGGCCAGCGAGCCGAGATCACGGTGACCCACCTGGATGCCTCCAACCTGCTGGCCAGCGTGCCACCGCCCCAGCGCCATGTACATGATGTGCTCTTCCGGGTCACGCAGTTCCCCACCCGGGGTCAGCTGCTGGTGTCCGGGGAGCCCCTTCACGCCGGGGAGCCCCACTTCCTGCAGTCCCAGCTGTCCCAGGGGCAGCTGGCATACGCCCACGGCGGAGGGGGCTCCCAGCAGGACAGCTTCCGCTTCCGCGCCCACCTCCAGGGGCCGGCGGGGGCCTCGGTGGCAGGGCCACAAACCTCTGAGGCCTTTGTCATCATGGTGCACGACGTGAATGAGCGGCCCCCCCAGCCGCAGGCCTCTGCCCCACTCCGGCTCACCCGAGGGTCCCGGGCCCCCGTCTCCCGGGCGCAGCTGAGCGTGGTGGACCCAGACTCGGCCCCAGGGGAGATCGAGTACAAGGTGCTGCGGACACCCCACAACGGCTTCCTGAGCCTGGAGGGTGGAGGCTCGGGACCCGTGACCCGCTTCACCCAGGCTGATGTGGATGCCGGCCGGCTGGCTTTAGTGGCCAATGGGAGCAGTGTGGCCGGCATCTTCCAGCTGAGCGTGTCTGACGGGGCCAGCCCGCCCCTGGCCATGTCCCTGGCCATGGACATCCTGCCGTCCAACGTGGAGGTGCAGCTGCGGGCGCCCCTGGAGGTGCCCCAAGCCACAGGCCGGGCCTTGCTGAGCCGGCAGCAGCTCCGGGTAGTCTCCGATCGGGAGGAGCCCGACGCGGCCTACCGCCTCACCCAAGGCCCCCAGTACGGGCACCTTCTGGTGGGCGGGCAGCCTGCCTCTGCCTTCAGCCAGGTCCAGGTGGACCAAGGTCAGGTGGTCTTTGCTTTTACCAACCTCTCCTCTGCTCAAGACTGCTTCAGCATCCTGGCGCTAGCCCGGGGCGCCAATGCCTCAGCCACTGTCAATGTCACCGTCAGGGCTCTGCTGCATGTCTGGGCAGGCGGGCCGTGGCCCCAGGGCGCTACCCTGCGCCTGGACCCTGCCATCCTGGATGCCAGCGAGCTGGCCAAGCTCACGGGCAGCGTGCCCCGCTTCCGGCTCCTGGCGGGCCCCCAACATGGCCGTGTGGTCCGCCTGCCCCGGGCCAGGACAGAGCCCCGGAGCGGCCAGCTAGTGGAGCAGTTCACGCAGCAGGACCTGGAGGCTGGCAGGCTGGGGCTGGTGGTGGGCAGGCCGCCCGGCCCTGCAGGCGACAGCCTCACTCTGGAGGTATGGGCACAGGGGGTCCCACCAGCGGTGGCCTCACTGGACTTTACCACGGAGCCTTACAACGCAGCCCGGTCCTACGGCGTGGCCCTGCTCAGTCTGCCCGAGGCTGCACGGACAGAAGCGGAGATGCCTGAGAGCAGCAGCCCGACCCTGGCAACAGACCTGGCAGCGGCCAGCCCCATCCCCACTGTGTCCAGGGGGGGCTTGCTGGGCTTCCTGGAGGCCAACATGTTCAGCGTCATCATCCCGGTGTGCCTGGTCCTGCTACTCCTGGCCCTCATTCTTCCCCTGCTCTTCTACCTCCGCAAACGCAACAAGACGGGCAAGCACGACGTCCAGGTCTTGGCCGCCAAGCCCCGCAACGGCCTGGCCGGGGACACTGAGACCTTCCGCAAGGTAGAGCCCGGCCAGGCCATCCCGCTGACCGCTGTCCCTGGCCAGGGGCCCCCACCGGGCAGCCAGCCTGACCCAGAGCTGCTGCAGTTCTGCCGGACACCCAATCCTGCCCTCAAAAATGGCCAGTACTGGGTGTGACGCTGACCAGGCCGGGGACAAGCGTGCCCGGGCCCTGCTGCTTCCTGGCTCCCGGCACAGAGAGAGACCCGGAGCTGCTAGGCGTGGAGGGTGCCGGTGGGGTGGGGGTGGGGGCAGTCCCGGAGTCCTGGATGGAGGGAAGAGCTGGGGTCTCCCCCAGCCCGCCCGTGTGTGAAGAACTGTGAGGGGGCCGAGGCAGGCAGCAGGCTGGGATGGCCCCTGCCCTGAAGTTTTCAAGCTGTCAGACCAGGGCTGGGGTCTTGGAGGGCGGGGAGCACCTGTAGGCTGCCAAGAAGGCAAGGAGAAAGTGCTTAAGGGAGGGAAGGGGTCGTTTGGGGGACTCCTGGCTTTTCTGCCCTGGCCCAGACCTCCCCGGGCCTCTGCCTGAGGGTCGTGGAAAAACTGATTCCCTGATTGATTGTCGGGAGAGGGGTGTCCCTGGAGCAGACGGCCAGAGAGCAGGTCAGAGAGCACACTTCTGCTCCCCAGAAGGCATTAGCCAGTAGGATAATATATTCGGGGGGTGGGGGGGTTTGTGCTGGAATGGCTTTATTTAAGGGAGATTGCAAAGAAGCTATTTTATACGGTGCTGAGCGGGCTGGGACGGATGATGGAGCTCCAGAGCCATGGGATGGCCAGGCTCTGAGGCCGGACCTTGACCGACCAAGGGTGGGCGTTGCCATCTCTGTACTCCCCAAGGCCGGGTGTGGGGGATGGGCAGTCAGGGCCACTGGGCCCCACAGGGCCTGGATAAACGGTGCTTTGGGCTCTGATCACTGTGCTGTTCAGGTTTATGCCAACCTTGTGGCAGCGGTTCCACCAGGCCTCAGTGGGCGGCCAGGGCCGGCAGGTGGACCCCTCTTTCCCCACTGCCCGCCTTCCTGGCCTGAAAACAATAAAGCTGAGTGGTGTGTGGAGCCCGCTGCCTTGGACCTGTTGTCAGGAGAGGCCGGTCCCTGAAGGAGGGCATCATGCTTGGGAAAGTGGAGGGGCAGCAGGAAAGAGGAAGACCCTTGACAAGGCAGAGGGACACGTGGCTGCACCCAGGGGCTCAAACAGAAGGACAACGGAGTGGGGGTGGGAGTGCGTGGCCCAGGACAGGGTGGTTGGGGCGCTGTGCGTCCCACCTGACTTATCAGCACCACCCAGCCCGACACATCCCATCCAGAGGTTTGGCCTCCACAGATGTGTCCCACACCATCCCTTTCAGGTTGTCAGAGCAGCAAAGTGTG